TTGTTGTACTAATCTACATTAGCTATTGCTGCCTATGCAAAGCTCGCACAGACTAATAACGGGGTCTCGTGTACTACCTGCCAGAACGCTTCGAGTGTCGGCCCGTTCCGGTCATGCATTGCGACGGGCGAGTTCAGTGGCGCTTGTACGAACTGCCAATATCATTCACGTGCTGCCCAGTGCAGCCTACGTAACGGCGCTGACGAGACTGGTATGTTTTTCTCCTGTCTCATCTTTATAAATGCTTTTAACGTATCAGGGACTGTTCAGCGCGGTACCAAGCGTGCCCGAAGCTATATATCACCATCCGAGCAGCGTCCTCGCCCCCGTACTAGCGCTAGTGGTTTCCGCCTCGACAGTGCTCGGCTCCAGAACGAGGTCCATATTCACCAGTCTGGAGCGGCACCTAGTGGTACCTCTGCCAAGCAACTCTTCCGCATTCTCTTCTGTTCTATGCCGACAGCCGAGCTGGAGGCTATCGTTAAGGACGGTCGCCTAGAACTTGACCGTCGTGGCAGCACCATTTGAGCTTCTGGGGCTGGAGATTACGACGATTACGATTGGGTCTTTATGGTACGGAGTTTGGGATGTGAGATGCATTGGGTTACGGGCTCTCTTTTCCTTCTGCTAGTTGAGAGTATTCCTGTGTAGGGCGTTCGTCCGTTTTTGAGCATTCTCTAGTGTAGCCTCCTGTTTTACGTCGGTGTCTTGCCTGTAGCAGCCCATGTCTACGAATAGCGTATCGTTTTGGCGAGTTCTGCACCAGACACACGCTATGCTAAGACTACGCCCCACTTAATATCTGGCAAAATTTTCTCACTTGGTCTCTTTCTAATTTTGTTATTGCGTTCACATTTGTAATGTATCGAAATGCCTCGTCCTCCGCGTCTCAATTGGGAACAGCATCGTCCCCAGATCACCAGCTTGTACCAGTCTGGTGCAACCTCTCAGGCTATTACATCTTATCTTCTTGATGAAACCGGAGTCTCAATGACTCCTACGCATCTTCGTCGTCTTCTCCAGTCATGGGGTGTACCGCGCCAGCGCCCTAGAACAGAAGTGACTCCTGACCTTAAGGAGCGTATTGAAGCACTCTTCTTTCAGCATGCCTTAACAGATGCCGAGATTGTAAAGGCTCTAGAACAAGAAGGAACGAAGGTAATGTACCGTAGTGGGCCGATAATACTATAGTGTACCAACAAGTAGAACTTAGATCTCGAGTCGCAAAGTTCAGGAGATTCGATGGGAAATTGGTTTATACAGACGTCATAACGCAGAGCAACTTGCAACTGCAATGGCCGAAGTCCGCGAGTTCTTCGAAGGAGAACGCACTACTACAAACATTGTTCGTCATATGGGATATCGTTCCCTTTACGTCCATATGCGCCAGCGTTTCTTCAACATCCCACGCGACTCTTTACGGGCAGTGTACGCTGAGTTTCACGAAGATGCAATTGCACATCGTCGTGCCCGTGCTGAACGCAAGCGGTCTGGTTGGACTGTACCAGGCCCCAACTACATCTGGTCCGTTGATGGGTATTGCAAGTTGGAATACTTTGGTATCGAGATCTACGCAGGGATTGACGCGTACTCTCGATACATTACATGGTTCTACATCGGAGTCTCTGCATGAACAGCTCGAAACGTCTTTGCACAGTACATTGCTGTGCTAAGCTCTTACGGGTTTATGCCGTTAGCTCTCCGTTCAGACCATGGAGTTGAAACGACACTCCTTGCAGGGACACAGTACCTTCTCGCTTCCGAGGCTCACAAACTTCGTCTCCGACGGAACCGCCGCGAAACTACTCGTTCTCATTCTCCTCGAGCTACCGACCCAGCTATTGTTGAGTTTAACGAAAGCGGCGACCATAACGAGATGGAGTTCGCGGACTGCTTCTGTTGGAAAGCCAACAGCCACGAATGTGCCGCACCGTAGTAGTTGGGTACCAAAAGGATGGGCAACCACTCAATTGATGATGATGTACCTGTCTGTGTTTTTCCAGAAGTTCCCTGCCTGTTCCTGATCCTGAGAATCCTGGTGCCAAGCCATTGGTCACCCCTGAACTGCCCTCTCTGACCACCTGCCAAATCCAACACCATGCTTCCGGTTTCTTGGTTTGCACATGGATTGTGTGCCACCCGTCTCGATTATCCCATTGGGTATACTTGATGCCGCGCTCGGCGAAGAAACAGGCGCGGTGCAGCCAGTCAAAGACGCGTGGAAGCGCGACCGTCGTCTCGCCTTTGAAGTCGGCCATCTCCTCTTCCACCTGCTTTGCCATGGCAATCATGTATGCCGGAGCAGCCAACGACTCGGAACTGTTGCTGCTAGTGGGGGTTCCAGGAGCCTTGTCCGCGGTGTCGTCTTTGGTTCTCTCAGCAGGAGCAGCTGGAGTGCCAGGTGACACCTAGTCCGGGTCGACGGCGCGGATATATACCACCGGATCCTCGTCCTGGATTTCCACGCCGAATTGTATAACGTCCATGTACCTGAACCTCGGTGTATATGGCGTCTGGGCCGCCTCGCTCCTGATGACTGCCTCGTCGGCAACGAGGAAGCAGTTGGTCCTGATCCTTTTGGGTAGATGCTGCTCGCCCCCGGCTCCATCACGCATCTTCTGGAACCAGATACGCAGCTGCTCATTCGAGGCACACTCCAACTCCTTGTCCTCAACGAAGACAATGCGGAGCGAAGGCCACAGCTCGGGCCCGAAGGCTAAGCGATCCACCAACGGGGAGTTCTATATCGCTCGATTCCTTCCTGTTCAGCCGGGCCATCTCCTCTTCAAATACCTCGTCTACATTCGCCCCGTCGTCGATATGCTGATGCGGGAGCAAAGTCCCGACTTGCGGGCTTGCTCCACGGATCTTTTCCGCGCGCAAGTATCCGACGACAGCAAACCATGGGCCACAGAGCGTCTCACCAACGTGATCAAACGATTCACCGCGCGGGCTCGGGGGAAAGGCATCAGGCTGCAGATACTCCGACAACTATCCGTCGGCATCTCGGAAAAGCATGTCCGCGAAGTCGTCAAACCGTTCAACCGGTTCGATGACCGGACAGACGCTGCGGATCGCAATGTTGCTTTCGCTTGGCAGACTGGCCATCGCCCGTTGCAGAGAGCAAGGTCATATGGGCTCGACGGAGCGTTTCCGGTGCTGCTACAGCCCCAGCTCCTCGAGCGATACGAGTGGGTGTCGAGCCGGTGGCACGAGTTCCTGCACCTCCCTAGCATGGTTACTGCTGCGGATACCAGAGCGGGCTGGGCTGGCGCCGGCGATTGCAAGCAGGGACCATCAACAGTAGCAGCACAGAATGTCCACCCATCCGAGCTCGCGCCAACTACTCCCGAAACACACATTATCGCTCCCTCCAAGAGCAAGAAGAGACGACGTCAGATACCGTTACCATTCGGTTTCGGTCCCGCCAGCAATTCCAACGGCCATAAGAGACCCGCTGGGCCCGAGGAAGACACCGCCCAGAATAAGCGGACGCGCCTCGCAGACCCACCACTACCGGCAAGAGTACCCCATGGCAAACGCTGATCGTGGACTCAGGATCGGCAGGTGGCGACTGGAAGTTCAGGGCTCCAAGTATGTTCAATGTTGGCCGAGGATAGAGTTTGGATGGTGCTTCATCGGGGTACGATTGCCCCTTTTCGTTGTTCATCGCCAACATGAAAGCTTATTTCATTGTCGAGCGCCAAGTCGGGCGTGCCGTCGATACCCCTGACATGAGATCACCTTCAACCAAGCGTACCTCTCTTTTTCCTCTTGGAGTGGAGTGAGGCGGTTTGAACCAGGCACCGCTTGCGAGGAGCGCTATACTAAGGACATGGCGAAATCCTTTACCCCGCTGTATCACTGGTAAAACGGCATCTGCATGGACCGTGTTGGGCACGAGGAGCATAGCCGCAATTTCTTGCTGTAGCGGTGATTGTACAAGCACCTAAGCTTTGGGTATGTTTCTTCGAGGCATTGGGTTGATGACCCCGTGACAATCCTTATATGAGTTGTCCCTGATGTTGACTTCTCATCTCCTCGTAGGCGCTAGTCGTCGAGGTGTTACGTGTTCCGTGCGAACTCAGCCCAGCAGCCTGGCCTGGATCCGCCCCTGTTTCGGGGTTCTGGTTCTGTCCACTCTTGCCCATGTTGTGTCTGGAGATTTCAAGGGGACAAAATGCAGATTCTCGGGTATCTCGTACTGCGAGGCCTTCTTCGACGTTGGATGTTTCTCGAGTCGTCAAACGCTCTGATACTACCAGGTACGGAGGACAGACGGAAACTTGGGGAATACTTTGAGTTTGGGGGGGAGGGGGGGAGGGTGGGACTTGCAAAGTTTCTACGCAGTAGAGCCCAGCGGCAGATAGACCCGTTGACTGAGAGCCTGATGGGCCACGGACCCCATGGGGGATCCTAGTTATCCTACGGTCCTATGACCGATTCGCATCCGCGCTGTCAGTGGTTATCGTCCAACGATCGAAGTGTTCAATGGCAACGGGTAGACAGGCATGGCCTTACAGAACCTGCGGGGCACTGTTCATCGAAGAGAAGGTCTTCACCAGCAAAATATCGAAGTCGAATCTCGCCGTCGTATGCCGTATTCACGTTAGATTCCATGAGGTTCTTGTTGAATAATCCCCGACCACGGCTCTCAGGCCGAGGTGTACGAAGTGGACCTGTTGAACTAGCAACAGTCACAGGCACAGTGATCACGAGGAACAGAACCGGATTGAATGCAGTTTGAAAGCACTGAACAGAGGGCTCGATTGATAAGATTTTGACAGAGTCTTGTAGATGTGTAAGGAACAGGGTGTTGGAGCCAACTACCCAATATTTTGGCACTCCGCTATCAGATCAACCAACTGTAAAATATAAGGAGAGAAAAGAAGTTAGCAGGATGCACCCTGTCTCGATTAGTTGACTGTTAACCGAAAAAGGCTAACAGTGATGCACCCTGTCTCAGTTAACTGTCAAGACTGTTAACCGCTTACGGGAGTCCTTCTTGCACCATGCTGCATGGAGAAGTCCTTGTTTACTCCCCGGCCTTTCCTTTCGAGGTGAGTTGTCTATTATTCGCCTCCACTTATCTCAGTGCTGCCGTACGGCTCGCTGAGCGAGCCTTATTTAGGCATTGATCTGTTCGAATTCGGCCCTACACTGTTTGCCGGCCTGGGGATAGTTACGCTCCTTCCCGGCTTCGGCAGGAAGACGCCTGGAGAGGAGGTCTGAGCACTGAGATGACCCTCCACCAGGTGCCTCCTCCTACGGATACTCCGTTACCTATTAAAGCCCCGGAGCCGTCAATTTACGACAATACTAGACCCTTTACTTTCCCGACATCTTCAGCTTCTCGTGCGCCCAGCCCAGACTCAAAAACACCAACTCCATTCACGGTTTTCCCACAACACCACCACACTCACCCTCGCAACCAACCCCGCAATGGCTCCCGTCCAGAACAAGACACTCATCTTCAAAGAGATCCCCACCGCCGCCCCGGTCCCGGGCGAGCACCTGGTCCTCGAAGACCGCGGCTTCGACCCCGAGGCCGCTCCCCCGCAGGGCGGCCTCACCCTCTCCATCCTCTATGCCTCCTTCGACCCCTACATGCGGGGGCGCATGCGCCCAGCACACGTCGAGTCCTACGTCCCGGCGTTCGAGCTCAACGGGCCCGTGACCAGCCACTGCGTGGCGTGCGTCATCAAGTCCGACACGGACGCGTACCAGCCCGGCGATCTGCTGGTTGGTATGCTGCCAATCGGCGAGTATACCGTGCTTGATCGGGAGGGCGTCAAGATGATTTCTCGCAAGGTGGACACCAAGTACGGGCTGAAGGACTTGGGGCTGTTTATCGGTCCGCTGGGGATGACCGGTCTCACGGCGTGGAGCGCGCTGTATGAGATTGGCCAGCCCAAGAAGGGCGAGACGATCTTCATAAGCAGCGCGGCTGGTGCTGTTGGGCAGGTGGCGGGGCAGATCGCGAAGCGGCAGGGGCTGAAGGTCATTGGGAGTGTGGGGAGCGATGACAAGTTGGAGTTTATCATCAATGAATTGGGGTTCGATAGCGGGTTCAACTATAAGAAGGAGAAACCCAGGGATGCGCTCAAGAGGCTGGCGCCTGAGGGCCTGGATATCTATTATGAGAACGTCGGCGGGGAGCAGCTGGAGGCGGCGCTAGATTCGATGAACAACTGGGGCAGGATTGTGGTCTGCGGCATGGTGAGTTTGAACTGGAAGTTGTATTACGGATGGTGGATGGTGACTGACAGCCGGCAGATCTCGCAGTACAATATTTCCGAGCAGGATCGTTATGGCGTCAAGAACCTGTTCCACGTCGTGTCCAAGCGGCTGACAATGCGTGGCTTCATCGTTTCCGACTTCGCGGACAAGTACGGGAAGGACCACCAGGAGAGATTGTCGCAGTGGCTGGTTGAGGGAAGCGTCAAGGCCAAGCTGAGCGTCACGGACGGCATGGACAATGCTATTGACGGGCTGGTTGGCATGCTGGAGGGCAAGAACTTTGGCAAGGCCGTGCTCAAGATCAAGGATGAGTAGGAGTCATGAGACTGGGTGGTGAGGCGTATGAAAACGGGGGTGTTAGACGCACAGACCCAACGATTGAATGCACCCAACGATTGAACGCGTACACACACCGCGTTCTAGGGCACTCACCCGATTCAACTCGACACACCTCAGCCAATTTTGCAGCAAAACACTCCGAATTTTAAATGGATGATGCCAGGGAGAAAAACATCCAGTCTGCCATTGATGAGGTCGATCGCGGCATGTCTCAGGCTAAAGCGGCGGCTTTATACGGCATCCCGCCATCAACACTCTCCGTCAGACTCCGCGGCGCAAAGCCAGTAAAACACAGCAAAGTACACGCTCAACGGCTCGCTCCTTCGCAAGAAGACTTCCTAGCAGACTGGTGCTTAAATGAGGAAAAGGCTGGCCGTGCGCCAAGTCGCCGTCAGGTTGTGGCATTCGCTCAAGAAATCCTGCGCGAAGGTGGGGACCTTAAGTCCCTTGGACCAAGATGGGTTGACCGCTTCTTGAAGCGCAATCCGCGCGTCCACACCAAGAATTCGACCTTGTTGGATAGCGCTCGAGTCCACGGATCTACTCGTGAGGCCTATGAAGACTTCTACGGCCGTTTGAAGTACCAACTCGAATACAAAGGCATACTACCGAAGAATATAGCCAATATGGATGAACACGGCATGCAGGAGCTCGAAACACGTGCAGGCAAAGTCATCGGCACCTCTTTGACGAAGGAGGCACTCGTTGAGAGCTCAGACGACACGACCTGGGTCTCTGTGATAGAGTGTGCACCGCTGAAGGCCGGAGACTGCACCCCTGTATCGTGTTCACAGGCGCCAGTCTTCAGGGGCAATGGCTCCCCTCCAAGGAGGAATTGAAGCGCGATTTTCCAGGCTGGCAATACGACTACTCCCTTCCAGGCTGGAGCAATGGCGATATCGCTCTCAAATGGCTGCAGCAGATCTATCTGCCAGAAACCAAACCAACAAATCCGTCAGAATGGAGGCTCTTGATTCTTGACGCGCACTCAAGCCATATCACGACTCGGTTCATGTATCTGGCCTGGATTAGCCGCGTTCAACTACTTTACCTGCCGGCTCATACTTCCCATAAGACTCAACCTCTCGATCGGAGTGCTCTCTCGCCCCTGAAGAACTATTTCAGGCAAAATACCAAGTCTATGGTTCACTTCACGGCGTCAGCTCCCATCAATAAACGCCGCTTCCTTTATTGTTATCGAGATGCCTCCCAGAGAGGTATGAGCGCCAGGAACATCGTCAGCGGCTCCAGAAAGACCGGAATCTGGCCGTTGAATCCGAGCAAAGTACTGGATGACACCACGGCAGTACTTCAACCTAGAGCCCCCCCTGCCACGCCGCCCACCCCAGATGAACGGCCTCCCTCGCCTACCAACATATATCTGCAGACTCCCCAGAAGTCACAGGATATTCGCAGAGCCTTGAAAAACGCCAAGGAGCGCGTATCTCCAAACAATCGCATGCTGAGATCTGTTTTATACAAGGTTGGCAAGTCGTTGGACTCGAAGAACGCCGAGGTCGCCAGCTTGCGCGCTCAAATCAAAGAGCTATCTGGCCAGTTGGAAGCCCACAAGCCAAGTAGTAAAAAGAGGGTCAAAGAGAGTGCCAAAGATGCTTTTGCGAAGATTGAAGAGATTGTGGCGGCTCAGAAAGAGAGTGAGAAGCCACCCAAGCGGAGGAAAACGACAAAGACAGCCGACCCGGGGCCAGCCGTTGAACAAGCGCAGGACGTCATTGTACATGGGCTAGATCGCCTTCGTCAGGCTGAGGATGTTGAACTGAGTGGGTTCCTTGGCACCAAGATTCACGGACTGAGCACTGATGTTCAATGCGAGACTCTCAGTCAGCACAGATCCATCACAATGACACAGTTCCTGACATAGCGTCATATCATGGCACACTGTCTTTATATAAGGGGGTAATTCCCCTGGGAGGATTAGAGAGGACAATTTTTTTCTGTTCCAACAAAAAAGGGACATTCTGACGCACCCTAACCCACTATCTTGATCCTTCATTTGTGTGGTCACTCTGGAATCGTGACTCCAATTCAAGCTTCGTTTCATACCTCAATCTGTTCAATACCATTTGGTTGATCTAAGCTTACTTGAGCATGTAACTGTTGGCTGCCCAACAGAGGAGATGTAGTTTGCACTTTCCCCTACATAGATTGCTATACAAATGAGTGATCTAGACATGTTGTTGTGTGGTGTGGGGGATTGTGGGGATACGCGCACAACCAACCCACTCGGTTATGTCGTATCTCCCTGAAAAAGGGTGTCGAATCGCAAGTCGCTCCGACTTGCAATCCTGTGGGTTATATGTGGGTCACAGCGCAGCTGCCCCATACTGCACTCTGACAGGGATGCAGGATCATCAACAATCGTTGGATGCATTCAATCGTTGGGTCTGTGCGTCTAGGACGCCCAAGCAGCCCATTCCCTACGGAGAACTGTTGTAACGTATTTGATCAGCAGAACTTATCATAGGTCTATTTTGCTGTGTAATTACCTGTAATCCGCAGTGATTACACAACTTCAAAACGATAAGTTGCACCTAGATGCGCCCTACAATTCAAGGTAGGACCTACAACCCCTACTAGAAGCATCATCGCTCGGAATTGGGTACAGTTCCATTATATGCCCCACTTAACCAGGCCCTACGGTTCCTTTTTGTTATTGGCCGCACCATGTATAGTTCCGCCTCCCGGACCCACTTAATTCCACCAAACAGGCCTTCCACGTGCGCGCTTCTCCCAACAGGCATCTCTTGGCGCCCGGGGTGGTAGAGTTCCACCCAGGGGTGCTGGAGTTTGTCCGGGGGTAGAGTTCCGCCCTGCCATTGGCCGAGCCCAAGTGTTGGAAAGCCAACAGCCACAAATGTGCCACACCGTAGTAATTGGGTACCGAAAAGATGGGCAACCACTCAATTGATGATAATGTCCCTGCTGCGTTCTTCCAGAAGTTCCCTGCCTGTTCCTGATCCTGAGAATCCTGGTGCCGAGCCATTGGTCACCCCTGAACTGCCCTCTCTGACCACCTGCCCAATCCAACAAATTGATACTTGCGATGGTTATTGGCCACCAAGCTCTTAGTTTGGCGCTAGATGTGCGGTATAAATGACAGCCAGTCTACCGTGTCGTAGGCGTTTGATGGCAGAGACCTCAGCCCGACAAAGTCCTCGACCAGGATGTACATTCTGAAAACGACATAAAATACGCATAGAACTGTCGTCCCGAGTAGGAAGCCAATTGGGGTATTCAGGTGCGGATCCTTGTCCGGGGAGATGTTGTGTGTTTCGGACAAGAAGCGACGGGCCCTATTGACAAAGCTGGGCAAAATGGTGGGCTGATGCGGGAGAGAGTGTTGCTGGGTGCTCTCGTCTTCGATGTGCTGGAAAGTAGGTTCCCGGTACAACGCTTTGTTGCGAAGTAGGAACATTCCCCCGAGAAACTGACCGGGACAGGGAAGACGGGCTCGCTCGAGAAGGCTCATCTCATGACCCTCGGCAAGTCGTTTTTGTGGAAGGACGATCCAGTCCCAAACTCCCATCCAGAGGCAGCCAACCACGCCGTACGTCATCATATATATGCTAGCCGCACGCCAGGCCAGCTGCTCGAAGCGGGTGGGAAACTCCGAGTTCCAGGCGATGAAGAATACCGAGGCGAACGCGACGATGAAGGCCCCGGCGACGAGGGCCAGGTCGAGGTCCATCCACTGAAACATGTCGCCGGGGACACGGTTCCACGGCCTTGAGTGGACACGTCTGGTGAAAGGCGAGAAAGCGATCTTTCGAAGCAGCTCGTTGTAGTATTGCCAGACGACGTTCAACGCTGTGTCATGCCGGCTGATGAAATCGAGGGGCGTATGATAGTACGGACCTGCTGCCTCGGGACCGCCCTGGGACAGTGAACAGCGGTCAGCTCCTATCCTGCCAGGGCCGTAATTCGTCGGGAATGTATTAATCATACGCTTTCAATGATTTCGTCGATGTGAACGGTTGCCTTGAGAACAATGGTCGTCTCAACGCAGGATGGCTTATCTTTCCAACACCACGAAGTGCCGAAGAGAATGACGACAAAAGAGAGAGTCGTAAGCTCGATTGTCGTTATAGCGAGACCCTGGATGTCCCGCGCTATCAAGCTAACTATGAACCAGGTTGCCTGGCACACAGCAATCAATCTGAGGCGCGCGACGACCCAGTATCAGTATGAGGACGATGGTTCCATGCCCCCCCCCCCCCCCCCCCCCCTCTCCCCCCCAACTTGAGACATACCTCGATAAACCGTCCGACTTGTCCCTGTCATCCAATTCTCTCTTTGTGACGCTGGGATACTCGACGTAGTTGTGCTTGATCAGGTAGAACAGCTGCTCGGCGTCGAGGGGGATTGGTTGTTGGTGCCCGGGCGCCTCAAGGACAAAGCCGCCCATGTCGGCAAAAAACGAGTGCGTGATGGTCCAGTCATTATGGCCATGCTCTTTGAATTTCTGCCGTGAAAACCGAGATGTCAGCTGATAGCTATAGTCATGGCGCTTTTCGGTGACAGGGCGCGCAAACCCGAAATGACCGCCGCGCCGAAGACCTCTGGCCGGCGGCGAGGACGATCAGAAAGTCCGGACCGAGGATGCCAAGACTGGCCAGGCCAACCTTGTCCCGAAATATCGCCCAGAAACCCTCCTTTGGGCCAGGGATGTTGGGGTAGACGGCTGTCCAACAACATAGGAAGGTCGTGACAAGGCACGTCACGAGGATATCGCTGGTGCCGCGCGTGTCCGGGGACGATGTCCATCCTTTGGTCTCAGTGCCGTTCAACATGGGAAAACGTGTCGCAAACGCAACGTTCAATATCTGGCTCGGTGGAAGGGGAGAGGGAACATATATGCCTGCCTGACGGATGGGCGCCAGCCATCGTCCGGCAGCGCATGCGAAGAAGGTTGGGTTCGGGAGACCTGTCAGGGCTGGCTGCCCAGCAGTTGGACAGCGGCTGCGTCGCGAAGCTGCATGAACATTGCATGCACACAGGGTACCGAGCCAATGAGCTCCCCGACTTGGGCGCAGCTAGCCGCCAACGCACCCAGTAGGTCCATCATTGATGTGCCACCCACCCCGGTCAATGCGACATGCGCACCACTCCGCGTTGATGCATGTGCTACGCCCGTGCAGGATTGCGTTGCCGCGGTGCTGGGTGAAAGGCCGAAGCGGTTTGGGCGATAAATTGTGAAGCATACCAAGGGAGGTGATTATCTCAATTAAGCTAACGTTATATCTACACCCAAACCCATATAGGTGCAAAACGGAAGCCGATTCTTGACTACTTGCGTAAAGTCTTCAAAACCGGCGCCTTTCGAAAGCTCTGAGAAAACCTTATCTAACTACACCGACTGCACGCCCGCGCACTTTGCTGCGTGGCCGCGGTGGGTGTGGAAAGTAGGGCGATTCGAGGTGCTGCAGACATCCCGAAAAACTCTCACCAGCGCACGGACCAATAGGTCACCTGACTCCCACCAACAGTTGCCCAGGCGACCCACGCCCTAGTGCCCCTGAGCCCCTGAACCCCTGAGCCCTCGAGCCCTTGCATGGGACAGGATGACCGCCCCCACCCCTCCAACTGAAGGGAGAGGAGGAGGACCGGCCCAGTCACGGCACTCAAGCGGCCCCCCGACACCTCCTCGTTCCCCCTCACCCTCTGACATCGACGCTATCAAGAACATGATCGACGGATTGGTAGCATTGGCAAACTCAGAAAAGAAGGGGACCGCCAGAGGCATGGGGCAAGACCTCCTCACAGCTGTTCGCAAGCTATACAATGCGACCCAGAACCAAACAGGAACCATTTCACTGGCAAACCTCCGCAAAGTGGTAGCCGAAGAACTCAGGGCGGCCACCACCGCACCCCAGGATAAAAGATTCTGGGCCGTAGTGGCCTCCCAGGAATCCAGCCAAACCCAGACGCAGACCACTGCCCCAGCAAAGACAGTGCCAGCCCGCATCAACAAGGAAATTCTTGTCAGAGGCAGAGGAATGCCAGCCGATATGGCCAAACGGACCCCACAGGAGATCGTCCAGGCTGTCAACCGAGCGTCGATGAAGAAGGGGGCAATCGCAGCCCGGACGCTCCCAAGCGGGGATACAATTGTTACCTTCCAAAGCACGACAACTAGAGACTGGCACTCAACCAACACCGAATGGATCAAGGAAGCCTTTGGACAGCAAGCAGAGGAGAGCAAGAGAACCTTCGCGGTCCTGCTGAAGGGACTATGGAAGCGAGACCTCCAGGGAGTGACCGAGGAGACATTTGGCAGGGAAAGTGGCCTTCAAACAGTCGACAAGGTCAAATTCAGGGTACCGAAGCACCAGGAAGCAACCCGGGCGACGGTGCTGGTGGCAC